TTATTTACTTTGTAATCTGATAAGTCATGTCGTAGGAATTTCAAAAACTATTCTAATTCAAATTTCAGTTGAGATAGTTGCTTTAGAATTTCCGTAATCAACTGCATAACAAAAATTTATTTTATATTTATAATTGAACTAAAGAAAAATGAACAGAAAAAACAATATCTATGTAAATATGCATAACATAATCGAAAACTAAAAACAACTCTATTTTAAAGAATATTCAAATGTAGAAATTACATGAATTAATGAAAGATGATGAAACTTATGTAAAATGCAAACTGTCCATCGTACAAATTGATAAAACCAGTACGCTCCCTCTTGTTATACATATGATTTATTGAAACCATTCCGAAAAACGTGATCGTGTTTTCAAAAACAGCTGATCGAGTCTTTCCATTTCGGTAACTTGAGATTTAGATGGTTTCATAAGTAAAACTTTATAATCAAATGGCCGTAGAATAGCTAAATCGACCAAATGTTTTACACGAGATAGTGGTACGTAGACCGCTGCAATATCATCAGTTTCACTTGGTAGTTTTAAATCAATAACCACTTTGCTCAATGTTTGACCTTGACTTTTATGTGTTGTTATACAATAAGCAGGTACAAGTGGTAACGCAGATCGTTTAATTGATAAAACTGTCTTTTGATTTGATTTTGGTTTCTTATCTTTTGGAATAAGATCACCAACATCGACCTGAAATGTTTGTTCTATTAGTGGAATTGGTATAAGTTTTGGTTGAAGATCTTGAAGTTTGCATTCAATCTTCGATTTTACAATGTCAATCAAAGCATATATTGGTCGACGAACATACTGTGTATTATTCGGAAACATTTCCGATAGATTTCCTGTTGATACCGAATCTTCGTGATATACTAGTTGTCGAAATATTCCATTTATGCCATTGATAAGACCCAATTCAGTAGCAATATTTTGTGTTAAAATAACAGGCATACCTGGTACAAAAGGTAATAAACCAGGTAAATGTTCTGTTTTGCTGTCAGACAATTCTAATAATTTTTTAAGCAATATTGGATCTTCAATTGCTTTGCCTTTACACGTATCTTGAGCGACGCATACCATCGGTGTATGACCCATTTGTGTTGCATTGTGAATTGCTGCCTTGTTATTTATTTGTGTTCGAATTTCATTTCGAAACACGAGAATAGGTGCCTAAAACGACAAAAATACTTTTTTCTCTAATTGAAAAAATGGATTTACTTTGTTCCATGGTGAATCATGTATAGATTCTATTGATGGTTGTCCAACAACTCGTGTCTGCAATAATTCATAATCGTCATAATTGCATTGGCCATGACGAAGCCGATCGAGTAATTGCAGATATCGCAAATCTTCTGTTCGCATCTGTTGTGTAAGTTTGACTACGCAATTCATTTGAAGAATTAAAGAACGCGACACACCTTGTTGAATTTCTTTTTCAGATGGTATTTTTCCCTGTTTCTTTTTTGATGGTAATGAAAAATCAGTATGCAATGGTGAATCATAGACTGGTCGATATTGTAAATAATCACCAAAGAAGATGACGTTCACACCACCAAATGGAACTTGAGGATCGACATGTTTGGCAGAACAAATAATTCTATTGAGTTTGCCTAATAATGTTAAGCCAACCATACTCATTTCATCAATTAAAAGGTATTCAACTGATCTCCATTCGTTTTCAAGTTTGAAATCACCTGGTTTGATGGTACGTGGCTTTCGTGAATTACGTTGTTCACCTAAAAATGAATGAATTGTCATGCCATCAATTTCAGCAGCTGCAATTCCAGTCGGTGCAAGTTTTCGCATCATTTGCATTCTTTTTGTAACAAGAAAATATTTTGTAAGAGCACGAATCAATTGTGATTTGCCCGTTCCACCACAACCAGGTACACACATAATGAGTTGACCATTATTGTCACCTAAAATAGATTATTTAATGAAAGAAGTAATAATTTAGTACATGAAAATACCTGTACGACATCGACTATCACCATCGAGATGACTTGCTATTATCAAGAATGCAGCTTTTTGTTCTTTATTTAATGTAAATTCATTAA